GAAAATACTTGAGGCTCAAAAATCAATTAAGCAGCAAGTGCAATAATCCAGGCTAAAAGTGTTGGGATCCTGAACTAGGGAAGTGTTCATGTGACGGAAGAGAAAAAAGGTGTGAAAGGTATTGCTGAGTCAAAAACCGCAAAATTTGGCAGATGACTGGGTATGTGGGATAGGAAAAAGAAAGGAGTTGGGGATGGCTCCAAATCTGCGAACCTAGACTAGAAGAAGGAGGTGAGGGTGGGTTGTAGGGAAAGATCGTAGGTTCTGTTTTGAAAATGCCTGTGGGACATATATTTGGAAATATCCAATAGGTTATTGGTGATATTGTGCTGTCAAACAAGTTTGGTGTAGACGACCTCAGGAAAAGTGTCCACAAATAGTCATGGAGTTTGTATGACATTTTTGTAACTGAATTTTCACAGCAGCCCCTGGCCACTTCCACTTCCCTTTTGATATCATCCACCTAAACTGAGTCTCTTCCCACAAGCTCTCTCCATTTGTATCTGTCTAATAATAATCACATTAATTTCTTCAGTGTATAAATCTCTGTTATGAATTGGCTTCAATCCAAATCAATAAATAAATGATAGGACAGAATAAAAGAACAAGTAAGCCCATGAATAAAAGGATGAATGAATGAATTGAATTGAATACATGATCCCTCCCTTCATGGCAGATTCACCTACTAGGCAGGATTTTTTTCAACTTTTGCCCATAAGCTTTTTACCATGTGCTTTGTTCTGTTTCTGAAAGTCAAACGAAACTTGAAATCCATCGAAGGGGCATGGCTATATTTTCTACTTCCCCCATCTGTGAATAACATATTCAATAATCAATACCTTGTCAAATGAGGAAGATGTTGATGGTCTCAATGATCCTACATTGTTTATGCCTGCTGTGATTCTCCCCAGAATAACTGGAGGCAAGTGAGGTATATTCCTACTCATCTCAGAGTAGACCCTTTGGCTCTCATCACAACCCAGTTCCAGGATTCTCTTAATCCCAAAATCACTTCTATGTTGATAGTAAAGAAATGATTTAGTTAGATGATGCCAGGACCTTGATTCTAGTCATTTTAACCATTGGTGCATCATTGTCTTAATCTAGGCAAAGAGAATTTATTTGAATCATTACTAAACAGATTTGGGAAGAGTGGACAGTGTGGATTTAGAAAGACCTGAGTTTGAATCCTGTGTGAGTTAATTACTAGCTGCATCACAAAGAGCAAGTAATTTAGCCTATTTCAGATCCAATTTCCTTGTCTCTGAAATGAGGCTATTAATGGCATCTCCTTCATTGAATGCTTGTAAATATTAAGAAGAAAAATAATCTCAATTACTTTGTAAAACTTAAAATGCTATGTTGTTATTGTTGTTTTACAATTTTATTTCCCAAAGAGAGATGCCTGATTAGTTAAATTTTCCATGGGGCTGAAATCTTTCTCCCTTTGTTCTTATTCAAGGATATTTCCTATTCTTCCCTATATGCCTTCCCAACTCTAATCTAATGGTCTGTCTCAGCTTTTTGTTGTTGAGGTTTTACCCAGAATCTCCTTTTGAAGAAATCTCTAGGCCAGCCGCAGCTCCCTCTTCTCTGAACTAAACTTCTAACTCTGGACTTTCCCATCTCTATTCCAGCTGTCTTTCAACCCTGAAGATGTTACCATCCCTGTGTCTACTCACTTCCTCCCACAACTTCCTCCTGTTGGTGAGTTCCTGACCCAAACACCTAGCTGAGAAAATGCTGAGGCCAGTCACAACTCATTTCTCTCTCAGTTTCACTCTGAACTCCCAGATTTTTCTACCTTTTCTCTATTGGTACCTCCCTTCCTCTTTTAGCTCTTTTTTGTGTTGTCCTCAGTTAGAATGTAAGCTATTTAAGAAAAGGGAATGATTTTCTTTTTGCTTGTATTTATGTTCCTAGCACTTAACCCAGTGTTTGACTCTCTCTCTGTCTCTTTTCTGTCTCTCACTGTCTCTCTGTCTGTCTCTTTCTCTCTCTGTCTTTGTCTCTCTGTCTGTGTGTGTCTCTGTCTCTCTCTGTCTCTGTGTGTGTATCTCTCTCTCTCTCTCTCTCACACACACACACACACACACATCTCCCTGAATGAGGGAGATTAATACATGATTCTGGAATTATGTGGACTCTCTCAATTGATCAATTTCTTCAGACTCGACTGAAAGAGACAAGAACTCTAGTTCGGGTATCCCAAAGCACCTATTGGTATCAGTATGTACGGAACCCTTGCATTTGGCTGAACACTTTACTAGACATTAAGTTAGAGACGGGAAAGGAAACAGAAAAACGAACTGATAAAACATGAAACTGATAACTTAGGAGGAGAGGGTGAAGCAAGAAACCAAGAAACCCACACAAAAATAGAAAGAAAAAAATATATGTATGTATGTATGTATGTATAACCACACATTTTGTGTTAAGTGATTCAGTATTTTCCAAAGCCTAGAAAAGGATTCTGGAGTTGGAGTAAGAGGTTCTAGGTTCAAACCTTTGACTTAACTGATCAGAAGTACAAGGATACCTTATGCTCAGAGAGGTTAAGTTATTGGACCATGTCCACATGACTAGTATCTGAGGCAGAATTTGAACCCAGATCTTCCTTAATCCAAGTCTAGCTAGAACTCTACTATGAAACATTGACTTCCTAACTAGATTTCCTAAGTATAATTCTCCATCTCCATTTTTCCCAATGCTCTACCTTCATGAAGTCATAAGATTTTAGTGAATATTCCATTAAAAGAAATAGTTATTGCAAAGAAAACAAACCTTTAACTAAGAAAGAAAGGCTGGAACTTATGACCAGAGAAGAAAGAGGCCCCAAATTGGCTTTAACCATGGTAGTTTCATTGAGATGGTTTCCACACACATACATACCATCTCTTCACCTTATTCTCCTCCCGACTCTTTCTATCCCTTTTCTTCTCTCCCCTCTCTTCCTCTTTCTTTTATCTTTTCTCTTCTTTCTCTCTTCTTGCTTCTTTTCTCTTTCTCTTCCCCTCCTCATTTCTCTTGCTCCTTTTTTCTCCTCCTTTTCTCATCTTCTGCCTCCCTTTCCACCTCCAATCTTTTTCTCCATCCGTCCTTTCCCCTCCCATACTCTTTCCCTTCCATCCTTTCTTTCATTCTCTTTACTTACTTCTCTAGTCTTTCTTCTCTTCCTCTCTCTATTTCTTCTTTTCTTCTCTTCCCTTCCCCGACTTCCCACCTCCCTCTTTCTTTCTACCTTTGTTTTCTCTTCTCTCACCCTCAATTCAGTACTCCCCTCCTCTATCTTTGCCTTCTCCTCCCCACATTAAGCCTTCTCTCCTCCCTCCTCTTCCCTCTTTCCTACTCTACTTGCAACATCCTCTTCTCATTTTTTCCCTTTACTCTCTCTTACCACACACACACATACACATGAAATAGAGTCCCTTTAGACAGATTTAGTCTGGATATCAGAAGAAAAAATTTTGTGGTGCCCAGAATCGGATTTCCTTGGACTTTCTCCAATACCCAAAGTTCAGAAAAGTCTGGGTCCCATGTTTTTCTACCTGTTCCCATGGTTAGCAAAATTCATGATGTCTGATGAGCCTGAGAGTCATGTGAGTGATGCAAGTAGAAAAGAAAAGCTAAGGACAAAATAAGGTTGAACACACACACACACACACAATCTTCCCAAACCTACAGTAGCAGACACTTAAGAGAAGAGACCTGGTTTCCCTACTGCATTCACAGAGACACCAGTAAAGGGAAGAGTGAATGTAATTGAACAATTAATGAAAGAATTCACGGAGTACTTTAATACAGAGTCCTGAAAAGCTTTTGGGAATTGCAGGTGTTGTTACAGGTGGGGTTAGAGCACATCTTTCCTCATCAGTAATTACCATATGCTGAGGACACCACAAAGATCTCCCTTGCCTAGTCCAGAAGCAGTTGAATTCAGAAACCATTAAGTCCATTTGATTTATTGGAACTTCCTTCAAAGAAATAAAATCATTGGCATGTGAGAAAATCAGACCATTTTCAGGCCTACTTAGGTACCCATAATGGAAGTGATGGGGGAGAGGAGGTGAAGGAGTCTTATCTTTGTGAGATGAAACACTGCATCCTTATACCCAGAGTCCATCTAATGCCTCAGGGGAAAATAGAGTGCCCTATAACTATTTCAGGGAACAACCGAGTATCAAGACTCTGACCTCTACTGATTTCTAGATTCTGGCCAAACAGAGTCCTAAGAATGCTCAGGCCTCTCCTTTTCCTCAAATATCCTTCAATGAGAATGCTCTTCATTCCATATCTAATAAAATATCATCCAATTTCAGTGGAATGAGCCTGGTTGAGGGTCCCTGTGCCTAGCCTCCATTCCCATGCACTTCTTTCCATATAGGGTCTTTCCATTACACTCACATACATAGTGGTTGAAGAGGTCCTGCTCTTCTGTATTTGTATTGTGACTCTATTAGTATAGGGAACTCCCAGCAAGGAAACTCTCTCTACCAATGCAGCTCAGCACCTTCTCTGAAACTTTTCTTCTTAGAAAATTACCTAAGACAATGAGAGTTCAAGTGACTTGCCCAAACTCATACAGCTACCATGTGACAAAGGAGATATTCGAACTTGAATTCTTGATGTGGGGGGCCAGTTCTCTAGCACCTCAGTTCCTAAAAAGTAAAGGTAAATGCTGTTGCTTCGTGGCTTCATGGGAATCTGGGGCAGGACATTACTTCACAATCCTAAAAGCACCTGATTCAATGGTTGGTGTAATTGTATCCTAGCAGTTAATGAGTCTCCAACAGAGACTACACTTGTTTTTCATGCTGCAGAAGAGAGAAGTGTGAGTGGGTTGTGGCAGTAGGGTGGAGTGAAGGGTCACTGATGGACAGATTTCTAACTAGCCTCAGCTAATGAGTATTTCTAAGAATGGCAGTTGCTTGTAGATAATGATCGGAGTAAAATATCTTACAATCCCAGCCCATCTGAAGTTCAGTGAGAGAGGAAGAACACAGGGCCCCATGGTATCTGTTCTCTCACACCCTAGAATAGCTCATTCGCTGGAAGAGACTGACTAGGAAGACCCATGATCAAGAGACACATTCCCTAGATCACTTTCAAAAGACTCAGGTAGGTACAGATAATGTTGCATAAATCTTAGACTTTTAGATGGTCGCATAGGGGGTTTCTAGACTCTGGAACTATAGGGCCCTTGCCCTGAGAACAGACTGGTTTATGTATGAGTAAGAGGCTGAGTTATATCCTCATCCTTCTGTCTTTGTGGGGAGGAAAATTACTTCTTTCAGCCCTTGAAGGAAAAATGTAGGGATGGAGCTGCTTACCCTGTGCTGACTCCAATGAATTATAAAATCTTATAGGAAGAAGGGACCTCAAAGGCCAACTATCTCAATTCATACCTTAATACTAATTCACTCTGCCATATCTTTAAGCAGTCATCACCCAACCTTCTTAAAAGACTTAAAAGTCTTTAAATCTTAAAAGACTTAAAAATGAATAGTTCTCCCAAAGGTGAATTTCTCCTCTCAAAGACTCCATTTCCTCATCTGTATAAATGAATGAATCAATCAACAAATAAAAAAGGTGCTTATTAAGCACTTACTGTGCCAAGCTTCATGGATACTAATAGAAAATCAGTACATTCCCAGCTCTCAAGGAACTCATATGACTGAAACATGCATAAGAAGGTTCAACTCTAGGGCAAATGGAACATCTCAGGGATCATTGTGGTGCATAGGAACAGCAGATAGTAATTCCTGGGGGTTCTAGAAGGTCTAGATAGGACCTAGTGGTCATTTATCTTATTGGAAGGATTATAGTTGGTGATTCTTTGCTCATCTAAGCAGTGTGAACAGCCACATGAAGCTCCACTTTAGAGGAGTTGTGGTAGCCAGAGGGTACCTGCCTAACACTTTGGGGAAGAGGCAATGAGCATAAGGGTTGAAATAGGGACTCTGTGGTTCTTCTTTGTGTGAGTATTCATGGCCAGTCAGTGTCTGGGAAGGGGACTGGGGGAGGGGGCAATAGTAAGAGAGCTGAGGGTATGGGCTCCCTACAGTAAAACGAAGTTAGATAGTTTTTAAGACTCCTTTATATCAAACAATCTAGAAATGCTATCACATTATAATGGGTAAATACTGTATTTATATTCAGAGGTCAACAGGATTGGACTTGATGATTATTATGGTGCTTTCCACCTCTACATCTATGACCTCCAAATATTGTATGTTAAAGAGACAAGCCAACAATTCTCTTTGCTTCTTTGTGGCATAATTGAAAATCTCTGATCTTTGGATCCCTGCTCCCCCATTTACTACCTATGTGACTTTGGCAAAGTCACTTGTCTTACCCTTTGTCATCTCAACTCTCAATTCCATTTTTCTCCATGCCCCCTGAGGAAGTCATGTAATATTCATGTCAGCTGGGCTCATAACAAGGTCAAATTATCTAAGCTCATTAATGTTTCACTCTTTTATGGCAACCCTATGTTTTTCTTCTCTGATTTCCTCTAGTGACTAGTCAAAATTCTCTCTTTTTTCCTTAACTCTTTATTCTGTCCCCTCACTTATATGCCATTTCAATAGATAATAAACTATTTCAATAGCCTTACTGAAATATTGAGTTTTCTAATATCTGTACACATCAAAATTTCTCTTGACCCAATTTCTCCTTTCCTCTGCTCCATGAGAAAAAGGTTGACTGTTTCACTGAAGTCAAAACTTCCATTCATTCCCTTAATCCTACCTCCCTCTGGACTCATTCAGGAATTTGGAATATTGGTTACCTCATTGTCATGCCCTCCCATTTTCAATTTCTCCCTAACTACTAGCTCCTTTTCCATCTAATTTTTTTTTTAAAAATCTTAGTTTTACCTTGTCCTTACAAATCCTTGACTGGTCCTAGATATCTCATGCCTTTCATGACAAAACTAGTAGAAAAAAACTATATGCTTTCTTATTTCACTTCCTCACTGCCCAGACACTTCTCCAACCATTCCAAAATGGTTACTGATTACAACATTCTACTGAGCTTTCATTCTTCATTTGCCACTCATCTATTGATTATTATTAAATACTTTTACTCTATCCTTGACATTTGTGACCTTTGTACAATCTTTGAAGTTGGTTCTCTGCCTTTGGCTTCAGGACAATGCTTTGCCTCAGTTCTTTTATGTATCTGACTTCTGCTCCTCAGTCACACAGGTAGGTCATCCTCACTCTTCTGTTCCTTTAGCATGAGTGTCTCCCAAGGCTCATCCCTGGGTTACTTTCTTTTCTCTTAATCTTGGTGATCTTGTCAGTTCCCAGGTGTTCAAGTAGCATTTTCAATTAGACATTCAAATTACAGAATCCCAAAAGAAGAACCTTGAAGGTTATCTAATCCAATCTTTCCTAGAAAGGTCTCCCTTCTATAATGTCTTAGAAATGTAGTCACTGAGGTTTTGTATGAAGGACCCCAGTAAGGGAGAAGTTTCTACCTCCTGAAACAGCTCAGTACACATTGGGAGAGCTCTGTGTTTGGAACAGTTTCCTTACATCAAGTTTAAATACACCTCTCCTCAACTGTCACCCTACTTGAAGAGATACATAATTAAGGGAATACCACCTTAGGGGAAGGTTTGTTTCTTTCCCTTTACATTATCCAGCCCTAATTTCTCTTCTGAACTCCAGTCTCATATCATCAGCTGGTTGCTGCACATTTCCTCCTGGACATTACATAGGCATCTCAAAGTCACCATTTCCAAAACAGAACTAATCATCTTCCCCCTTCTTAATTCCACTATCTTTGTTGAGGGCTATCATCACTCAATCAAGTTTGCAACTTCAGTAACAAAGTCCATACAAGTCAAATTAAAGTTAAACTTCTTTGAATATTTCCTCTCCCTTATTGTTCAAATTTAATTACTTGTCAAATCTTACTGATTCTCTCTTCACAAAATTTCACAAGCACACAGATTTAGATGGGACAGGAATCCTTGGGACCGTCTAGTCCAATTTTCATTTCACAGATGAGGATCTTACATCCATCTCTTTCTCTCTACCCATATGCTCCCACTCTCATCACCTCTCACCTGAACTTTCTCCTACAGCTTCTACTGTCCACGTTCACCCCTCTCCAATCCACCCACCACAGAGTTACCAAAATAATCTTGCTAAGGCACAGGCCTGATCTTGCCAATCTCCTCTTCAAAAACTTCCCTGGGCTCCAAAATACCTAGAGGATAAAATGCAAATCCCTCACCCTAGTGTATAAGGGCCCCCACAAGTTGTTTTCCATGTAGATTTCTCCCTTATTTCATATCACACCCTTTGAGAGACTTGAATGTATGGACTACTCACTGCTTTCTGAACTTTATGCTACTTTGCTAGCTTCTGTACAGTTATTCTGGTCACTCCCACTTCCATCCCTGGAATGTACCCTACTGCCCATTCTTTCTGCCCCTTTTATTTCCCCTATTGCCTATCCCCATTCAAATATAAGGTCCTTGAAGATGACATCTGATTTACTTGTTCCTTATATCCCTAGAGCTTAGCACACCATGTAAGCACACTCTAACCCTAACCCTAACCCTGGGTGGAAAAATTCATAGCAAGTATCTCTGATAAAGACCTCAGTTCCCAAATATAAATGCACTGTTGGTGGAATTATGAATTGATCCAACCATTCTGGAGAACAATGTGGAACAATTCTGAAAAGGCTATAAATCTTTGCATACCCTTTGATCCTACAATATCATTGCTAGGTCAGTATCCCAAAGAAATTTTTTAAAAGGAAAAGAACTTATTTGTACAAAAATATGTATATCACCTCTTTTTGTGGTGGCTAAGGATTGGAAATTGAGGGGATGCTTATCAATTGGGGAATGGCTGAACAAGTTGTAGTATATGATTGTAATGGAATATTATTGTTCTATTAGAAATGACAAACAGGGTGATTTCAGAAAAACCTGAAAAGACATACATGAACTAATGAAATTGAAATGAGCAGAAACAGGAAAACATTGTACATGGTAACAGCAATATTGTATGATGAACTCCAAGTAACTTAGCTATTGTCAGCAATACAATGAACCAAGGCAATCCCAAAGGACTCAGGATGAAAAATGCTATCCGCCTCCAGAGAAAGAATTTATGATGTCTGAACACAGACTAAAACATACTATTTTTCTCTTTCTTTCTTCCTTTCTTTTTATTATTCTTGCACAGAATGACTAATATAGAAATATTTTACATGATTGCACATGTATAACCTGTGTCAGATTGGTTACCATCTTAGGGAAGGGGAGGGAAATAAGATAAGGATAGAATTTGGAACTCAAAACAAAAAAAAACAATGAATGTCAAAAAAATGCACATAACTGGGGGAAAATGAAATGTTATTTTAAAAGTGGTTCTATAAATATTTTGTACATATAGAGTCTTTTCCTTTTTCTTTGATCTCTTTGAGGTACAGACCTAGTAGTGGTATTACTGGGTCAAAGGGTATGAACAGTTAAATAGCCCTTTGGGAATAGTGCCAAATAGCTTTCTAGAATGGTAAGATCAGTTCACAACTCCACCAACAGTGCATTGGTGTTCCTATCTTTTCACATCCCCTCCAACATTTATCATTTTCCTTTTCTGTCATATTAGACAATTTGATAGGTGTAAGGTGGTATCTCAGAGTTGTTTTAATTTGCATTTCTCTAATACACTATAAGCTCTTGACAAATGTTCTATCCATATGTCTTCTTAGCTTAGTCTATCAAGATTCCAATCAGATATCATCTTCTCTGGGAATCCTTCCCAGATTCCCTTAGTTCCTAGTGCTCTCTCACTCCTCAAGTTGGCTTGTGCTTGTTTCCCTGTATTTGGAATCCTTCAAGTAGAACTTAATTTCCTTGATGACTGGGACTATTTCGTATTTGTCTTTGTATTTTCAAATATGACTTGTATGTGTATAGTAGGCACTTAAGATCATTGATTTGTAGCTGAAGAGGACTTAAGTCATTCAATGCAATACTGTCATTAAAATAATAAAGAAACTGAAGCTAATATAGGTTAAATAAATTTTCCAAAGTCACAAGTAACAATTGGCAAGACTAGGAATCAAACCCAAGCTTTCTGATTAAAATTCTACTAAACCACTGCTATGGGAAATTAATACAAGCACATATGTGTCTAGAGCAGTGGTGTCAAACTCAAATGAAAATGGGGGCCACTAAATCATACATAAGGATCCCTGTGGGCCATATATTGATTTAGAAATTCACATATTAACAATATCTGTTTATTAAATTTGTATTTGTTTTGCTAAATATGTTACATTTACATTTTAGTCTGGTTCAGTCAGAACACGTCTGAGACTTTTGTGTTAGATGGAAGTTCCTTTAAGAAAGCATCCTCCCACCTTTTCATTGCTTGGAGGAGTATTGGAAATAAAGGAAAATCTACATTAGCAATGACATCGTAGGTGGGTTAATCTGTACTTTGGCTTAGCCACAAATTTTGTCATTACTGACCAGAAATAAAATTGACTGTTTTATTAGTCTAGAAGCAAGGACAGAAGTAGAGAGGACTTGGGGTTACTGAAAATGGAAAATATCATTACATACTTTAACCGGAATGAGGCTAGTTTCTAAGACGAAGTAACACATGTCAAAAGAGGGGTGACATAGAGACCTCTCCTTACCTCTACACCATGGATTCCATGTCATTGTTCAAATGACTGGACTTAATTATATGTCTCCCCAATGCACATATCCCTCTCTTCACCTGTGAAATCCTTCCCTTCTTTTGATGTCTGACTCAGCTGCTACCACTTCCATGAAGTCTTCTTAGAACTCCCCAGTTTTATGTAATCTTTCTCTTCACAAATCTCTCAAGCCGTCCTTTCTGGAGGACTCATAGACTTATGTCAATGATACATGGATGGCTTATTGTGATGGGGGTATCATGAGTACACTAAAAACATGGACTGCCCCATGGCAGTTTTGTATACTCCACAGGTGTCTTGGGCACACTTAAGAAACATTTGTTGCATTGAATTAGAGTACAAAGATGATTTGGAAAGAGATTATATACACACAAATTGGAGACTGAGATCAGGTCCCTGTTGAGGAATAGTAGGATGTATAGAATTCAATTAAAATTTTTGAGACATCAAATATATTTTCATTCATATGTCCCCGAGTCTTGATGTATTTGATTGAGAAAGGCAAGGCAAATTATACCAAATGATGAGCCCAGAAAATAGAAAGGCAATAGAAACCCTAATTCATGACTCTACTGATTGTTTTTCTCTTCCTTAGAAGTGATGAATTTTGTTCATTAACAGTATCGTGTGACTGTGGGTTGTTCAGCTCCAAACTTAGCACAGAAACTATTTGAGGCCACTATCATTTCCACAACCAATGATAAATACCATATCCTGCAGAGAGTGCTGGGTAATAGTGAAATGAATGACTTTCTGTTACAGAACCTACTGCCTAATCATGAGCTCACCACCTATCCAGTCTGTGGAGGATCCCACTGAAGAAGATGTACAGGAGAAAGTAAAGCAACTTAAATCTACCCCCCCACCACGGAGCAAACTGGAGGCATTCCTGAGGAAGGAACTAGAATTCCTGGGGGTAATCACTTCATGGAGATTCGAGTAAATGAGATGGGGCCAGAGTTCCTGGCAAGGTGCTGAGATTACCATATTGGAAAGAAAATTCTTCTAACTTAGGAGCTCATGCTGTGAAATTTCTGTGGGATTCCCCTAGAAGGCTCTGGTTTCATTATCTGCTAACACCTGGAGAAGAAAATGAGAAAAATACTAGCATGTGTTTCTACTCTACTATTTAAAGAAAAATAATGATCTCTTTTTCCCACAGGGAGACCACTTCATCAAACATTCAATGGTTTAAACTGAAACAGACCTTAAATCATAGAAGAGAGAATTTCAGAGCTGTAAAACATCTTAGATCAGAAAATATCGCAGAGCTGAAAGGCAGCAAAAGGAACATAGAATTTCATAGATGAGAGGGGCTTTAGAACATAAAATAGTAGAGTTAGGAGAGTCTTAGAACAGAAAATGTCAGAGGTAGGAGGAATCTCCTAATACAGAATATCATATTTAGAAAGTACATGAGAATGTAAAATGTTTGAGATTAGGGGGAAAAATACTTCAGGATTATCTACTACAACTCCATCATGGCATCACTAATTCATATTCACTGACACCCTAGCAAAGAAGAATGTGTCTGTAGTACCTATCATCTTCTTCAGCCTTGTTCAGTGATTGGCCAGTATTCAGGAACCATGACTCAGGTGTTAAGTAGTTATACTGAGGAAAAAGTACTCATCCCAGGAAATATTTTCCCTTCTAAGTGTATTTCTCTCCTTGCAGGCAGCTCAGACCATGATTGGCCTTATCTGCTGCTTCTTTGGAGTAACTCATGAATTCATTCTGGATTTTCTGAAACCTAAGAAGGACCTTTTCTCAGCCTCTTACATGGGCTATCCAATATGGGGAGGATTACTGGTAAGTCTCTTCAAGTCAGTTGAGTTCAAGTTAATCCCATGCACACCTTTCAAACATCTTATATGTCTAAGTCCCAGTATTACCTACTTATATATCTTCTATCTTCACCTTACCTTCCTATCAGAATCTTATGAATGAATGTTTTCCATCATTTGAAGTATGGAAGATACTCAGAATGTCTTCTGGATTCTCCCATTGAAACAAAAAGATAGTCAGTTCTTGCTTGGTATTCTGAGATGCATGTTCTAAAAAAAATGTGGTATCAAAAATTGGTTTGATATCATTTGCTGTCTTTATGACCATTTGTACAATGAACCTACCATGTCAGATGACAGCAGAATCCTCCTCCATTATAAATTCTGGATTTAGCATGGAAACATAAGTAGGAGAAATGGGGTAGCATGGCATAGTGAAAAGAAACTTGAATTAAGTCAAAAGACTTCAAGATGTCTCTGCTACTTAATATTTGTAACATATCGGATAGGTCACTGAGACTCTGGTTCTTGGTTTTCTTGTGATTAAAATAAAAACTTTTGAACAAATAACAAAAATTGAAACTAAGCCCCAAGCAATTCTAATGGCCAGCTTTTTTCCAAAGAAGAGAAAAGAAAATATATTATTTCCCTTCTCTACAGAAATGAGAGAGAGAGAGAGAGAGAGAGAGAGAGAGGCAGTGGAATATTGCACATACTGTCAGGTTAGTTTGGTGTGATGTCTAATTTTGATGAATCACCTCACCCCTCACCTCCCAGCCAACATACATACTTTTTAGTTTTAGGGGTTTTGGGGGGTTTTTTTGTTATTGTTATTTATTTGCTTTGTTTTGTCAAAAGAAAATGAGGGATAACTCTATATGCAGGAGAGAGACATTCTGGGAAATGAAAGTGATATAAAAAACAAGAGATTAATAATAATATAAACAAAATAAGAGTTTGGGACTATGAAATTTTAAGGCTCCTTCTAATTCTAAATTCCTATCATTCTATAAACTAGCATTCAGCTCAATTCTCTGGGATGAACTAAAGACTTACAACACCATTATTCACCCCCACCCTCAATCCTTATGGAGTTATATAGGCTCACTCCCTACCTGTAAATTTCCAATCAGTTCATCACCCCTCCCTTACATAGACTCTCTTCACTTTCAAGGCCACCAAGCTCTACATTTGCCTTACATGAACAAAGTCATTAGTGCCCCTCCCCTGAACACTGAAAGCTCCCTCCCCTAAATGTGTGCACCAATCACAAGACTTTCTATCAGTGCAAAAGATAACCAAAGAAGTCTCTCCTTTCCATTGCTTCTTCTCCATCCACTTTACCTTAGTACAGTTGGCAGGCCATCCTCTAAATCTCCAAATCAACCAACACCAGATCCAAGGCTGTGTGCTGAGTTTATTAAATAAGACTGTACAGTCCACTTCTCACCAGATTCTCCTTTTTCCATTCATAGCTGCATTCTGTCCCCAGTTCCAGACACATTACTTTCAACAGCATATATATTTTTCCTGAATATAACTGTACATGATTCACCAGTAAACACAAAGGGGCCTCTACTTAATCTAACAATTCTGCACTCTCTGTGGTTTAGGCCCTTTTCCCTCTCTTGGAGAATCAGACAGAGGGATTTCTATGCATGGACAACCCTGCTCTCCACAGCAGCCAGTACTGAATGAGTGTCCACTGGGTTTGCTATTTTAAATGATGTACCAATCAAGAATGCAGGGTATGGATGACCATAATCTCTAACCCCAAGAGGCTGATGATCTACAAAGAGAAGCTAGGAATCTCCAAGAAGAAAAGGAGGTCAGATTGAGAGTTTTCAGCCATTTTGATTAACAAGTCCATCCAATAAATTGAGCCAAAATACAGACTGTCAATTGGCAGTATGGTGCAGTGGAAAGGATATGGAACTTGAAGTCACAGAACCTGAGTTCACATACTAGCTTTGCTACTTATCCCTCCTTCAACCTTCATCAAGTCACTTATCCACTTTGGGGCTCAGTTTCTTAATCTGTGAAATTAAAGTCCCTCCCGGACCTTGGCTAATGCTCTTATAACAGCAAAGGATACCATATCATTATTCCCATTAAGATGTTAGTAAAATTTCTAAGTTTCAAAAGTGATCCAATATCCAGTTTTCTGGCATAAAGAATATAGCTAGAAAAGTATGAGGGAAGTGGGGCAAAAAGAGGAGTTCAGCAGCATGGCATGTTGCATATAGTGCTGGACTGAGAGTCAAGAAGACCTAGGTTCAAATCCCTTCTCTGACCCTTAATGTTTGAGCCTGGACAAGCTGCATCTGAATTAAATACAAAGCAGTGTGATAGGCCCAAAAAATCTGCTCAAGGAAAATGTCTCTGTGCCTGTTCTCTACAATGCATAGGCCTTCAGTGCTTTCCCTACTCTTTTGATTAAATGCCAACTTCTCGGTGTGTCTTTAAAGATTTCTCTCAGGTTTGCCCACCTTTATCGCTATTATGTGCAAGACTCAATTCTAGAGGCTGAAGAAACAAAGAAAAATACAATACAGTTTCTGTAATAGTATGAGCCCCAATGGACTTAAAGTCTAATAATGAAAACAGAGCTGAAAGTAGGAATCACACCCTCAGGTAACTACCACAAACCATACCTGGGTCGAGACAGAAAGTATAGCCTCATTTTCTATGGGGGGGGGAGGGTAAGAGAGTAGGGATGAGACAGGGATCTTTGGATACTACCTCCTGCTAGGCAGGGTTCAAGGACATAGGGGATAGCATAAGGATGGGGGAGAAAAGATCCTCACTATAGTGTAGGGCAGATATAGGAAGTGTAGGAAGGCCTCACGTGAGCCTGCCAGCTGGTAGTTTCACATTTTCAATTTTCTTCCTCTGTTCTTCCTCTATACTATTTCAGCATCGAAAGTGCTATAACTTCCCCCTTCCTCTAAATTTCATCCCTTCTAAATTCATCATTCTGGGACTTTGGGCCAGATACCTCACTCTAAGCATAGCTGTGAGTTGTGATGTGCCAATATCTAAAGAGATGAAAAAATAAGATATGGTCCAATAGTGGAGAAGGAACAATATATAAAGTTAGTTCCTGAGGAAAATTTGAGAAGGATCAAATCCTTTTTTAACTGATAAGGAAAGATAGAAACATGTTCAGAAAAATGACCAAGGGCTTGAAATTTTAAATTAGCAGATGAGATGTGATTGGCAAAATTAAAGTCCATGGCAAAATGATCCTACTGGTTCTCACTGTGAAACATATTGAGTACTGGAGTCATCAGCACATGTACTTCCCTCAACTTCAATTATCTTTTCTTTGATAATAATATTTACCTTCTCTGCATTCCCAACATTTAGTTCTGGGATGCTATGGATCATCAGCATAGGCTCTGAGGCCTTGAAAATGGAATGATTGAGTTGTTAGGGCTTCATATTATGTGGAAGAAGTGAGACAGGCAGTCAACTTCCAATGACAAGTTTTATTTTTTCCTGTCTTGGACAGTTCACCATTTCTGGATCTCTGTTGATTGCATCTGAAAGAAAAGGCGCCAAGTATCTGGTGAGTAAAAGCATTGTCCTTTTTCGTCACTGAGAATGTAGGAAGAAATCATGATTATTAGTAGAGAAGAAAGTCTTCAGGACAGAAAAGAGGTTTATTAGTACAGTATAACACATTATAGCATTATATATGAGATGTATTAGTATAGTGTAGCATATTATACCATTATACTATATAGTATAATATAGTACAGTGATATTTGTGAAAAAGCATATTTGTGGGAAAAGTTCATGGAATAGAAAAATACACCTGAGAATTTTGTTTTAAGAATGATCAGTCCTCACTATTCCAGAGGACAATGTGCCCACACATACTCCTGTATGTCAATTCTCTCCAAAACATCATTTACTGTGTCCCTTCTACCAAACATAGGACCCAGTCCCAAATGCTGGACAGTTCTGTTAGGCTTATTGAATTTAGATATGGCAGAAAGCTTAGATATCATCCAATCTAACCCTCCTCATTTTCCAGAAAATTAAAGTGATCCCCTCAAAACGGGAGTGACTTGGCCAAGGACTCCTAGGGAGCAAGCAGCATAACTGAGATTTGAATCCAGGTCCCCAACACCAAATACTGAGCTCTCTCCACTACTTTGAAAACAGGGTGAAGTAGGAAAATGGATAAGCCCAAACCAGATGCCTCAATGACTGTTCTAATTGTCTCTCAGATACAAAGCAGCCTGGTGATGGCCGTTCTCAGTTCTGTGGTCGCAGGGATTGGGATAAAGATTGTCTGGTCCAATCTGAAGCAAACATCTTCTATTTTTCAAAAATGCCAGAATCAACAAATTGGAGAATTTTGCTTTGCAGTTACTTTTTTAACTGTAAGTGATTCTAATTGAAAAGCTAAGATGCTATTAACCTCCTTGGAGTTAGAATATCCATCCTTTTTTCTTCATAGTAAGACTGGTCCTTAGGCCTTTAAGTCATGGAAGAGACTTGGAGTGGTGCTCTGTGGGTGTATACAGGCATGTCAGAAAGTAGCTGCTGTGTCCACCACAAAGATCCTGCTATGATGAAGTGGAGAAGCCCTGACTATGTTGGCATAACTTCTAGGTTCCATTAGCTGTGTTCCTTTTGAGGTGGTGGTCCTGAAAGTGGGGCTGCCTTCAGAAGCTGTCATCTTATCTGTATCTTATACTTGTGTTACCCTTTAGAATGTGTCTGTCCTGTGACTCTGTTTTCCACTATTTGACAGGAGACTGCAATCATGGTCTTATTCCTCACTGTCCTGGAGCTGGGCATTGGTATATTACTCTCTGTCAATGAACTAATTGGAAAAATAGTGGAAATATGGATTGCAAAGGTAAATTGGTGATAAATGGTGGAGTGTTTAGAATGCAAAGCTAAAAGTCTGAAGTTCTTCAAAATCAAAAAGTTCCAGAGGTTGTTGAGCAAGGGAGAAGCATGACTAAAATGGTACCTTGGGAAGCAAGATTTGATATCAATAAGAAAAAGAGATAACACTTGTGGAGGAGAGGAACTAGGGAACTTCATGGAAGGTCCATAACTCTTTTTCCCAATTCAGTGAACTTCTGAAAATATACATCATAACATCATTTCAATCCCCAGAAAAATAGTGGGAAATATGTATTGGTTCCTTTTCCCTTTCCATCCTTTCCAAGCCCTCATTGGTCATTATTCCCCTTCCCACACTCTGTAGTCCAGTTTCCAAGGCTTCCCTCTGTTTCTCACTCATGGAACTCCATCTCCCATCTCCATGCCTTTGAATTTGCCAACCTGTATGCCTGGAATGTACTCCCTCCTTCTCAATATTCTTTTGTATTTTTTTAAAATTTTATTCTCTCCCTATCTCTATCTCATAGAATCCCTCTTTTCCTTTAAGATGCTACTTAGATTCCATCTTCTGTGAAGCCTTTCCTGATCCCCCAACTGCTAATTCCCTCTCTTCCAAATGACTTTGTACTTAACTACTGTGCATATATGTGTGTGTCTATATGATACAGAGAGGCATAAAATACTGATATAGAGAAGTATAAGATACAGATACTGAGAGGGTATACAATAATTTGAGGATGAAGGACTCACATATGAAGTCATTTAAAGTTATACAAACAAAATAAAATAAAACTGAATTCTGTAGCACAGAACAAGAAGTTAGTGAGAAGAACCTGAGATTCAGAGTTAGTATTTTTGGTAGGCAATCAGGGTTAAATGACTTGCCTGGGGACACATGGCTAGTAAGTGTCTAAGGCCAGATTTGAACTCAGGTCCTCCTGACCCAAGGGCTGGTGATCTACCTAGCTGCCCCTCAGCTTCAGAGTTAGGAAAGTTTTGTTTGAGTCCAAGTTTGGCTATCTACTTGTAGTATAGCTTCAAAGATCAAATGAGATGATAGGAAAGTGATTTTCAAACCTTAAGGTGACATTTAAATGCAAGTTACATAAAAATGGTATTTAACATTTATACAGTAATTAAAAGTTTGTAAGGCACTTTACTTGTGTTAGTCAGTTGATCCTTATATAATGATGTGGAGTAGATGGTATTATCATTCCCATTTTACATATGAGGAAACTGAGGTTGGAAGAGATTAAGTAACTTAGAATCAGAGACCTCTGAGGCCTCTTTTAGCTCTAAGGTTGTATGCCTAGGATTTAACAAGATAAATCAATAAACTGATAATCAACAATCATGACTAATTACCAATATATAGCACTGGAGACCCAAAGACAATACTGAAATAATCCCTACCCTTGAGGAGTTTATAATCTAGCCTGAGGAGACAACATGTACATTTATAAGAATGTACAAAACAGGGGGCAGCTAGGTGGCAACAGTGGATAGAGCACAGACCTGGAGTCGAGAGGACTTGAGTTCAAATCCAGCCTCAGATACATAAAAATTCACTAGCTGTGTGACTCTGGACAAGTCACTTAACCCCAATTGCATCACTTAAAAAAAAAGTACAAAATAGATTAATGAAACTGGAGAAAGGGTACTAGAACTTGGGAAACATCAGGAAAGATGTCTCCAGGAAAGGCTGAAGCCAGGAAAAGTTTATTTAGAAGACAGAATTTGGTTTGAGCTTTAAAGATCTCTCTCTGTTTCTTTATCTCTTCCACTCTCATCTATGTATCTATCCATCTATCATCTATCATCTATATATCTATCTATCTATCTATCTACCTATGTACCTATCTAATCTATCATCTACTTGTCCCTACATACATCCTATGCAGACTTGTGCTATCATCCAGAAATATACAAATATACAAAAACCACTTTCCTACCTTCTGCCTTAATCTCATTACAGTGATCACTATAACCTCTCTCTCAAGATAGTAATGTGTATATAGGGCTAATATAAGACTGGGAAACTAATTAGAAGTTCTGGCCTAGAAATATTTGTAGTAAGTTGATGGGGGTGGGGATACAGGCCTTTATCCCCCATGACTGACCTGGTGGAATCTGCTCACATAGAACTTCTCAATCTAGTCTGAAAAGGTGGGTATGGTAGAATTATGGTGGAAGAAAGAAGATAAAGAGGAAAAACTGACAGCCTCAGAGAGACAAAAAGAGGGGGCTAAAGAATTCAACCTGAACTGGAGATTGAGGAAGATCTGACCATTTAAAATTATGTGTGTGTGTTTTCCCTCAGCATCACAAAACTTACCAAGAAGCTCTTTATGAAGAATTAGCCATCTATGACCCAGTTGCTGAAAACATAGAGCTACAGAGAGACACAAGAACGGAATCCAGGGAGTCACTTCAATCAAGAATATATCAATTACCAGAAGAGCTCCAGAAAACTTAATCCTAGAGACCGACAAATGTTTTAAGAGCATGGTACAGTGTAAAGGTTGATTGACTTGGACTCAGTACCCGGGTTTGACTTCTGCCTCTGTCTTTTACTTTCTGTATGACTTTAGTCAAGTGACAACTTCTCTACTCCTCAATAGTTTCATTTGTGTATGACTCTTTGTGACTCCTTTTGGGATGTTCTTGGCACAGATACTGGAGTGATTTGTCATTTCTTTCTCCAGCTCATTTTACAGATGAGGAAACTGAGACAAACAGGGTTAAGTGGCTTGCTCAGGGTCACACAGCTAGTAAGTGTCTGAGGTCAGATTTGAACTCAGGAAGATGAGTCTTCCTGACTCCAGGTCCCCTGATATATCCACTGCACTACCTATCTTTCCCATGACTTTGGTACAAACCTTGCCTCTAATTCATGCTTCCTGAGTGAATTCACTGACTCATTCTAGTGTTCAGCTTACTCTTCTTTAAAATGAAAGGGTTAGGATATATGGTCTCTGAGTTACTTTCCAGACCCAAATCTGTGATCCTAGGACATAGTTTCTGATAGTGCTTTGTGGGATTCTCAGTCTTTCTATTTCTTCCAATGAGCTTCCTAGTTCATATCATCTCTCTCATAACTTACATTATTTTAGCACATTAAAGCTTAAAAGGGCTTTCTTCATAATAACTCAGTGTCATAAGGATTAAAAAGTTTGGTATTTCCATCTTATAAATGAGAACACTGAGGTTTTATCCTAGGCCCTACCCTACACTAGGTGTCAGAGACAGGATTTTAATCCATTTCTCTGGACTCCAAATAGATTACCCTTCCTCATTGCCCTACACCAACATGTTCTGTTTTCCTGATAGCACATGTGTTTGTGTGTGAATGTGTTTATGTTGGTTTTCTTAAATTCAGGTTATCCAAATTCTGGCACCCAACCATTTGATTTTCAATCTTTCAATATAAGACTTACCATATAGAGTACTTAAGAACTTTTAAATAGATTGTTTTCATAGATTTCATAGATTATGTTTCCAGCCTCACAACAACCATGTGAAGTAGATTCTATAAGAATTATTATTAGAGTTTTACAGATATGGAAAATGAGGCTCAGAGAGGTTAAGTTCACTTTCCAAACTCTTCCAGATCCCAAATCCAAAAATTTACCCATGTGCTCTACCACCATATTTGTCATCAATTCAACATTGTTTTACTATTGCTGTTTACTGCTGCTGCTACTACTATTACTATTGTTGTTGAATATATATCTCATGCACACCCAACATTAAACACTTTGGAGGATTACTAATATAGTACAAGATGGGATGGGTCTGAACAAAGTGTGGAAAGATTGGTTATATTTAAATACAAAGGAAGGACTCAGAAGAACATTTTAGATTGAGAAGCTGCAGAGCTTGAGCAGATTTGAGAAGGGGAATGGAATAGGTGAAAACTGATCAGGAGACTACACTGATTGTTTCACAAGGATGCATGATGGGAATTAAGATTGAACAAATTTGAATGAATTAAGAGTCACATGAATCAGGTTCTGAAGGTTCTGTGGATTAATCATTCTTGACTCTTCCCTCTGCTCTTCCCTCTGCTTCCCTCAGTACCTTGAGACTTGATGAATTATTACAACTTCTTATGAATTTTACTTTCCAATTACTTGCATTCATTCTATTTACTTTCATTGTCACCACTTTAGTTTAGCCTATACTTTGCCCTACTTCATTGCATTATTGGATTACTATTGCAACAGCTTCTTAATTGCTCTATTTCCAACCTTGCCCTCTTTAGCTCATTGAAAACAAAGCTGTCAAAGTATCCTTCCTTATATATTTTATCCTTTCATATATCTTGTAAGCACATAGTTGTTTGCATGTTGTCTGGCCCACTGACATATGAGTACCTTGAGAGTGAGGATGGTGTTTTAGCCCTTTACATGCCCAGCAGTAACTATAGTTTCTGGCACAAAATCGGTGGTTAATAAAGGCTTATTGACTGACTAAATTATTTTTAAGGCACAAGTCTTATTATTTAATTCCTGCAAACAACTATTATACATGTGTGTATGTATGTGTGTGAGATAAATTGAAGGAAGGCTCTAGAATAAAGAAGAACAAGGAAAAAGTAACTATAAAAGGTGAGATGTTTACTGAAAACTTGAAGGAAGCCAGAGAAGCTATGAGGCAGAAATGAGAAGGGAGAATATTCCAGGTAGGGGTATAGCCAGCAAAAATGCCCAGAGTTGAGAGATAAACTATGTTGTTCAAAAAATGTGAAGATGTCATAATCACTGGATCACAGAGAACATGTAGGGATATAAGGTATAAGAAGCCTAGAAAAATGGGGGGAGGCAGATTATGAAGACAATGAATGAGAAACAGATTTCATATTTGATCTTGGAGGTAGTAGGGAGAAATTGGAATTTGTGTAGGGGATGGTCAAATATAAGGTTTAGAAAGATCACTTTGATAACTGAGTGAAAATGGGCTAGAGTAGGAAGAAGCTTGTAGAAAGGGAATCAAATATCAGGTTATTGGAAAAGTCTAGGCTTGAAGTGAAAAGGACCTGCAACAGACTGGTGGCAGTGTCAGAGAAGAGAAGGGACCTTATGTGAGAGATGTTATAAAAGTAAAACTGACAGAACTTGGCAACCAATTCGATATGGGGGGGTAGGGATAATGAGGAGTCAAGAATGACACCTAGGTTTTGGGTGTGGATAACTGTGAGGATAGTGGTATCCTTCATAGTAATAGGGAAGTTAAGAAGAAGTGGATATTTGGGGAAATTTTAATGAGTTCAGTGTTGTTCTTGTTAGGTTTAAAATGTCTATGGAACATCCAGGTCAAGACATACAATAGGCAGTTGGTTATATAAGACTAAAGGTTTCAAAAATAATTAATAATTAGGATAATTAAACCATTAATGCTCTGATCTGCCTTATTGGAAAAAATTACCCCACGATGAGAGAAGAAGCTGCTCTTTTGGAAACCTACATGGCCTTCAAATCTAGTTCCACTCTCCAATGAGAGAAAAGGGCTGCTATGTCTCAGAGTAGGATTAAATTCCAACTAGGATGATCTCAGCTTGATAGTGATGCTGTCCAAAGTGCTTATCCTCACTAGCTAGAGGTGAGTGATGCTATGTTTGCAGATGCTTCCAAATGGAAAAGAGAACCATTTCATTCAATGGGACTATTGTAGAGCATGACACAATTGATCTGGCATCTTATAACAGGCTAGGACCTCTCTATTGTTTTCTGGTTCCAGAAATGCATAGAAAGACCATCTGCTTGAGAATGATAAAAGAACTATCAAAAATCATTCTGGTTTTTAAGCAAGATGTGTCTGTGATAGGACCTACCCCTCCTGGTAATGACTGATATAAATCAAGAGACAAAAACTAGAGGACAGTGGGGACTTGACTAGAAGGGGATTTTCTTGACATAGTTTCCAGAGAGAATTTTTTTCTTTCTTGAAGAGATAAAATCAGTTCTGACTCATTAAAGGCATCTCCATGTGACACCAGCTATGAAGACTGACAAATTATTCTCAGAAGATATTGTGTAAAATGATCTTGAGAGTTGATGGTGACAATCATGTGAGAAAGGAAGGTAGAGATTAAATCAAATTCCCCTCAATCTCAGATTCTGATGGATAATCATAGAAATTTTATGAAAATTACTTTTTACAGATGCAGTTCTAACAGCAGCAGCGGTAGCAGCAACTTCAGGAGCTCTCAGCCCAGAGACAGTAAGAGCATCAGAGAACTCATTAGAGATTCCTTGCTAGCACTGGGTGCAGCTGGTGTTGATTGGCAACTCTATTGCCAACAAGCAGGTCTGAGTTGCAGTTCAAGGGCAGAATGCAGTGCTTCTGGTCACAAAGGAGTAGGATCTCTGGTTTCATTTCCAAGGCAGAGAGGAACACTAATGCTTGTGGCTGCCAGGGAGTAAGCCCTTTCTGGGTAAAGACCAGAGTACAAAACAAGATAGAAATGACCACACCTCTCCCCAAATCACACCACCTTGGAAGCACTGTAAACATGCAAACCCCCAAAACTAACTCTGAAAACAGCATCATGAAAAAGCCTGAAGTTTAGGACAGTGCCTCCCAACCCCCAGGTGAACACAGTCCAACTTTAATATAAGGTTCAAAGTCAAGAAATGAGTTAGAAAAATGAGCTAACAACAATAAAAGAACTTGACCATAAAAAGCTATGGCAGGGAAGACTGAGACATAAACATAGAAGAAGACAACAATGTGAAGACAGCCACAGGTCACACCTTGAAGAAAAGTATTAATTGGATCGAAGCCCAACAAGAATTACTAGAAAAGTTAAAGAAAGAGGTAAGAGTGTCAGAGAGGTAAATTGGGAAAAGAAATGAGAGTGATGCAAGAAAATTATGAAAAGAAAAATGACAGCTTGTTAAGAGAAGCATAAAAGAATACTGAAGAAAATCTCACCTTAAAAAATTGAACTGTCCTAATGGTAAAAGAGACACAAAAAAATCACTGAAGAACTCCTTTAAAAGTAGATTAGGTCAAAGGGTAAAGAAGACACAAAAATTCACTGAAGAAAAAAACTCCTTAAAATGAAGAATTGGTGAGGCAGCTAGGTGGTACAATGAATATAGCACCGGTCCCAGAGTCAGGAGGAGTTCAAATCAGGCCTCAAACACATAATACTCACTAGCTGTGTGACTTTGGGCAAGTCACTTAACCCCAATTGCCTCATAAAAAAAGGCAGAATTGACCAAGTGGAAAAAGAGGCACAAAAGCTCAGTGAAGAAAATAATTCTTTTAAAATTAGAACTGAGCAAATGGAAACTAATGACTCCATGAGTCATCGAGAAACAAGGAAACAAAGTCAAAGGAATGAAGAAATAGAAGGAAATGTGAAATTCCTCATAGGAAAAACAACTGACCTAGAAAATAGATCAAGCAGAGATAAGTTAAGAATTATTGGACTCCTGAAAGCTATTGGACTCTGGAAAGTTGAAATTTGTAATTCAAAATATTGGGCTCCTGAAAAAAAAAGTCTAGATATCATATTTCAAGAAATTATCAAGGAAAACTGCCCTGATATCTTAGAACTACAGGATAAAATACAAATCAAAAGAATCCACCAATAACCTCCTGAAAGAGATAAAAACTCCAAAGAATATTATAGCTCAATTCCAGCATTTCCAAGTCAAGGAGAAAATATTGCAGGCAGCCAGGAAAAAA